GATAGTGTCCAATAAATGTTGATTCAGTGACTTAGGTCAAAACTCCAAGACCTGGTCTCAACGTGCTTCTCCTGCTTTAGATTCCACCATTTTCCCAGCACTCTTTGGTGCCCCTCTGTGGGCATGACTACATGTCCCCCTTCCACACCTTCATTCTCACCAGTTCCTTTGCTTGGAATGAACTCCCCCAAATCAAACTTACTAATCAATGCTCAAGGCCAATCTTAAATAGTATGCCTTTTATTACTGATCCTCCCAACTAGCAAACTCTCCCCTTCTCCAAAACCCCAAGAGTATTCTGCCTGTAACAGTATCTACCATTTACTCACCACTCATTATGTACCAGACACTCATTTAATCCCCATAAGACACCTGTGAAGGAAATATGCTCATCTCCATTTAGGAAGAATTAGTCTGAAGGTTAGGTACTCATCTGATGTCACAGGCCTAGCAGTGAGTAGGGAAGTCAGATTTAAACCCAGATCTGAGCCTCGGAGTCTACGGTTTAATCACATGGCCTCACTGCATCTCTTTAGGTATATATATTACACAGTTTTGCATTGTTCTTTTGCTGTTATTAGCACTTTCTATATGCTGGGCTCTGTTCTAAGCACTTCACAAGAATTAGCTAGTTTAATTCTCTCAACAAATGTAAAGTATAGGTACTACTATTATTGTCCGTATTTTACAGATGAGAAAACCAGGGCAGAGAGAACTGAAGTTCAAGGTCATTGCCCAGGCAGTCTAGCTGCAGAATCTGCTCTCTTAACCACACAAGAAACTTGTTTTTTGGTTCTTTTGTTTATTTGTTTTAATTAAAGATTTAATTATTTATTTTTAGAGAAAGGGTAAAAGGAGGTTTCAAGAAAGAGGAAGAGAAACATCGATGTGTGAGGAACATGGATCAGTTGCCTCTCATATGTCCCTAACCAGGGACCTGGCCTGAAACCCAGGCACATGTCCTGACTGGGGATCGAACCGGTGATCTTTCACTTTGCAGGATGGTGCCCAAACCACCGAGCCACACCAGTGGCTGTTTACTTGTTTACTTGTTTGTTTTATCTACTGGACTGTTTACTTGTTTGTTTTATCTACTTCCCCAATTAAACAGTTAACTCCTGGAGCAGCTTATTCATCTCTGATTCCCCTTCAGGCCCCAACACAAGACATGTCACAAAGGAGGCCTTGAAAGCTACCTGTTGAATGAAATCACCAATAAACTTACAAAACACACACATGAGACACGTGCATCTACCTCACTGCCAACACACACTTCACCATCAGTTTCATATTTCTCTCCCACGCCAGGCACACACGTGACACTGTCCTGTACCTCTGAGCACCCACTCCTCGGAAGGTCTCCTACACACCTGCACACACTTCTTCCTTGATCACTTTTCAGCCCTTTCTCTACACACTTGAGTGACATGAGGAGGAGTTCACATGCAAACCACTGCAAAATTCCAGTCTACCCCATCCCAGCCTTGGCAGATAGTCAGCATTTACACACTCTCAGTTGTTCATACAGACACCTCAGAGGAAAAAAGAAAATCTCCTAACACGAAGATTCTTACTCAATGGGTGTGCCCAGACCTGGAATGGCGGGGGGGCATTCCGAAGCCCCCACAAATCCATATGCACACCAAATACCTGAAAGCAGGTCAGTATATCTTGCACACAAAGCTAAAACTATTTTTTCTAATGTATATTTGATTAACCACAATGGCAAATATAATATCAAAGTCATCTAAAAGCTATCCTGAATTCATAGTAGCTTTGAGCCATCTATTTTCACACTAAACAGATATAAAAAGAACTACTATTTGGGAAGGGTACTGTGAATTACTGACTTTAAAAATGTCTTTAAGCTCAGAAAAAGTTGAGAGCCACTCAAAGCAGATAACAATGAAGCACCTATGACTTCCAGGGAAAGCTTGGGGCTCCTGGCCCTGAGACCTGTCTCAGAGGTTGGGAGCCAGGCCTGCTTCCTTAAAGTCTTCCTCCCTCAACCCCAGTACCCAAGGGTGGGAGCCCATTCCTTTCCTTCTTGGCTAGATGACAATGTACTGGTAGAACTTTAATGACCGCAGGATATTGCAGGAGACGCCCAAAAAACAAGGAACAGAAATAAAAGGAGAGGGAATGGAGTCACAGGGTAGGGAGGGGTATCAGAGCTGTCACGGCACCTGTCATCTGCAGACGCAACACCCAAGCCCTCCCACAATATACATCTGAAAACATACACGTGCATATTTTCACATGCATATACAGCCTTACCTCAAGCCTGTAATCTCTCAACTACATAGTAATGTCTCTTCATTCATTCCACAAATCTTTATCAAACACCCACTAAGTGGCTGGTACTATATTAGGTACAGGGAATGCAGAGATGAATATCCCTGCCTTTTCATCGCAGACGATGAGCCACTCCCTCAACAGACACTGCACACACTCACACACGGAAGCACCCCTGCCCCTGCCAGCTGTCTGACACCCATCTAACATTCCCCTTTCCTTTTTCCTTGTGAATCTCACACGCACACACAATGGGTCAGATACATAACTGCCTCTCACAGCTCCCACACAACTGACACAAACATTCTTCTGACACGTATCCAGCACATACACATCCGATACACAGAACAGTCCCTCTCAACACAGGTACTCAAACACATCTCAGCCACAAAGCCACACAACCCTCATTCAGAAGCACACACTTTGTCTGGCTCGCTGGGAGCCTCTGGCCAACGAATTCTTTCAGGGAATGGATGCAAGGGCTCTGTTTGACCAGGGTGCTTCTGGCTGCATCTATCATACACCCAAGGCCTGATTCTGCATGGGGACACTGTGGACCAATCAATTACTGTGACCTTCCTCTCTGTGGCTCAAATTTCCCTCCCATAAAGTTAGAAGTGTGGTTCGTCCTGTGTCCTTTTTTTAACTTTATTTTTATTGTTGACATTATTAGAGATGTCCCCATCGCCCTTTTTCTTAGGAAGGCTTGAAGGGGAGGCGTCATAGGGACTGCAGAATCACAGAGAGGTCATAGAGAAAAGGACTCCTCGCAGAGCCCAGTGTCTTACTGAGGCCTCACATTACAGCACACACCCATGGGCCCCTGCACACGAGCACATGCCCTTACATGTGAGCCCTCTTCACTCTACTAGGCACTGGACCTCAGTCTGTAAACACTACTGTTCAAACAGTCTCATTCACACACATACTTTCACGGGCCTCTGCATGCAGGCAAACACACACACAGACGCCCAATTTCACAGTTTAGGGAGCACCTGAGCTCCTTGGGGAAAAGGCGAGAAGGCGTCAGATTAATTTAATACACACAGTTCCTGAAGATATGGCCCCACAACCTTGTACGAATAACCCCCCAAAAGCAATCTAAAAACCTTCCTTTTACATTCCTCTACCACATACAGATACACAATCAAAATAAAGTGCAAAGTGCGGATTTCCCAAGCCCAGGGCTACACTTACAGACTCGGCTCCTCCCCCCGCTGTCCACGTGCTGGCGGCCACGAGGACGCGCAACCCTGAAGCATCCCAGAGCCACACTAGATGGTGGGCACGCACACACATATGCACACCCCCTCCCCAAAGACTCCCTCTCCGAGCAGACACAGGCAACTGCCACGTGGCCCACGGCTTCGGGGGTCACCGAGGGAGAGGAAAGCATGTCTGTCTGCACACGCTTGCAGAAAGCAGCCGCCATTGACCCGGGATGAAGAAGACACGGAACCTCTCCCCACTCCTCAGCCAGAGCAAAGTACAACAGGTGCCTTAAAGTCCCTCCCCCTCCCACCCCCACGAGAACCACAGCCCACCCCAGGCCTGGTGCACCCCACCACCGAGTCACCCCTCTCTGCCCCTTGCAGCCGGGGAGGTGGCAGAACCTCCCCCGCCCTTCAGCCTCCCCGTCGAGCCCCTATGCCACCTTCCACGCCACACCCCAGCGTCCCACCGAGCCCGCTCCGGACCACTAGTCTCTCTTCCAAAGCCCGGAAGGTCAGGGCTGGATGTTCAAAACAGAACCTTCCGCTCCCCACCTCTCGCCCGGGAGAAGCGACCAGCCATTTTTTTTGCCCCTCAAGAAATCCGTCGTCTCCTAGTCACGAGCCGCAGAAGCCTCAGCCACCCTCTCCCTCATTTTTCCTTCACTCTCCAAGGGGCTCTGCCGATTCTGTGAAAAAGAAACACTCGGTGCCCTCCCTCCTGGAGCCCGCAGCCACGGCTCGCAACCCGCACTCGCCCTCACGTGCCTTCGTGCCCTCCGCCCCACGCCCACCGCCCTCGCGCCTAGGTTTTCATCCCCGCCCCGCCCCCCCAGTCGCGGCACAGCCTCAGAGGCGGTCTTCGCGCCCCTCAGCCGCGGACGCTGAAAGACTGCTGTGCCCCGCCCTCCTAAGCCGACCACGCCCCCCACCGGCCCCGCCCACAGGCCCCGCCCACAGCCCTCCAGGCCCACACAGGCCTCGCCGCCCCACCCCCAGCCGACCATTCGCCCTCACAGCCCTACGTAGCCTAGCCATTCAGGCCCTACCCACTTTCTTCAGGACTCGCTCCCAGACCCTAGACCTTTAGCCCCCGGAGTCCCCGCCCTCAGGGACCCGCTCACTGCCTCTCATAGGTCCCACCCACACAGGCCACCATCCACAAGCCCTCTTAAGGAGCCTCACTTCCCCCCTCACCCGCAGGACACACGCCCACTCTCAAGTGCCAGACCCACACTCTCCAGCCAGGACCTGACTAGCCACAAGACGATCCTGAGTGGAGGGAGGTTGGCCCAGAGGCCACGCCCACACTCTCCGCTTCACCCAGCGGCTCCTGCGCTCACTACCTACCTATTCACCTGCGCTCTCCCCGACAAGCATCCTCACCCGGGACACGGGTCACAGTCCTCCGGTGGTGGTGCACACTCCAACCCCGGGGCACCTCCAGGCCCTCCCTCCCGCAGCCAGGCGCCCCACGGCGGCTCCCCGGCTCACCTTCGCTGCAGAACTTGCCGCCGAAGCCCGTGTGGCTGCAGTCGCAGCCCACCTCGCCGGGGGCCAGCACTGTGCAGAGGCCGCCGTTTGCGCAGGGGTTGCGCGCGGGCGCGCACAGAGGGTCGGCAGCGGCGCCGCGTAGGCCCTGGCTGCCCAGCAGCGCAGGGGGCCGCTCGCCCAGCTTCAGGTTGGCCAGGAGGCCGCGGAATGGCGGTTCGTACTTGACGGTGCTGAGCGTGAGCGCCGAGAGGCGCACGTCGGGCGGGATGCCGCCCACGAACAGGTCGCTGGCCACCTGCATCTCGCGCCTCTTCGAACGCACTTCGGCGGCTCGGGCCTCGCCGTCTACCGCCAGTGCGGTGCGTCGCGCGTCGCGGGTCAGTAGCACCATGTGCCAGCGGTCGTCGGCCACTGGCGTGTCCAGCTGCAGCGTGGCCGGCTCAGCGCACGAAAGCGTGAAGCGCAGCCTCAGGCGCCCATCCACCAACAGCAGCTCCAGGAAGTCGCAGTCACCGCCGTCGTCCAGGTAGAGCAGCAGCGCGCGCGTGGCGTTTGTGCGCAGGCTGAAGCTGAGCTCCCCGCTGCTTGCCGCGCCCGCCCAGCGCGCGTAGCGAGCCCACTGCCCGGGGCCGCCGCCGAACTCCAGGCCGCCAGCGCCCACCGCCAACATCAGCAGCAGCAGCAACAGCGGCGGCGATGGCGGCCACCACGGGCTCCCAGGCGCCATGCCTCCGGCGGCCCCGGCCCCGCCCGGCCCCCGGCCCCGCTCAGGCTTCAGAGCCGCGGGCGCATGGGGCGGGGAGGGGGCCGGGCGCCCCCGGCACCGAGCGGGGCTCCCTCGCGGGTTCACAGTGCCATGGGCCTGGCTCTGAAGCGAGGCACGCAGAGGCCCAAGTGCCGGCTTCCCCGAGCCCCGGCGGAGGCGCCCCTCCCCTGCTGCGGGCTCCGATGGAAGATGGGGGAGGGATGCCTGCGAGAAAAGAGAGAAGAAAAAGTTAATGAGGAGCTCCGGAGAGGGGAGGCCGTCCGTGTCTAGCTCCCCACTCACATCAGCAAGCGCCCAGTTGTTTCCCTTTTGGACTTGAAGAGCTGCCCTGACCTGGGGAGCAAGAGACACTACGGTGGATGGGACTGCAGGGGCTCAACACTTGGGGAGAGATGGCAATCCCTCGGGGCATTGTTGGTTTGAGATGTGGCCAGGTACCAGTCCGGTTGGAGCTCAACCCAGATGCCCTCATTCTCGCCTCCTGTCAGGACCAGGGCCAGCTCCTCCAGCTGGTGACCCTAGCTGGTTCCTCTCTGAGCCACCCAACCCCTGTGCTGGGCTCCTACCACCAGCCCCGGCTCTCTCATCAGCTGCTGATGCTGGATAATGAAGTTGCTAAATAATTCATTGGGATTAATTAAATGTCAATCCGTCAATGGTATCACAGAGTAATGCGGCTGGGAAGGGGGTAAGGGAGAGAAGCCAGACAGGACCCAGGCATCCAGGCCCCAGGTCCTCCCCATCCACGCAAGGACACAGCCATTGGACTTCTTTTCTCCAATCTCCACAGCCACACCCACCCTTTCCTGGGCCCCGACCCCACTGCTCACTAGCCCAGATCTTTCTTGAACCTAAATGTCTGTCGCCCTCAACCTCCAGCTCCCAATCCTCCGCCTTCAACCTGGCCCAATACCTGGGTTCCTTCTCCTCTCAGTTTCACCCCTCCTCCTCATCCAGGGCTGGGGGAGCCACCAGGAGGCAGGCAGGCTCATTTGCATAAAATTGCCTTTCTGAAATGATTACCCTTGTAACTGGCTGTCAGAGAGCAATTTATACCCCACGCAGGGGAGGGGAATTTGCATCTCGTTAAACTCCAAGTCGTAATTATTTATATCCAACAACCCTCCTGAATATTGCATTGATTTTATTTGGGGGAGGGAGGAAGGGAAGGAGTGGGGAGAAGTCTGAGAGAGAAGCCTGGAGGGGCCACAGTCTAGGAACAGATAGGAAGAGATTGAAGGGGGAAGTGGAAGGAGATGAACTGCATGGCAACTGACAGAGCCAGAAGAGTGATGGAGGAGGAAGGCGGCCTGATGGGGAGAAAAGGAAAGGGAAGATAGATAAAATTAAATTCCGAATTCAAACTGCATTTGTCAAGGCCCTGTATGCTAGGCAGTTTTACAAATGTCATTTTACTTCATCACTCTGAGAAGTCCCATTATTCCAATTAACCACTGGGGAAGCCCACACAGAGAAGACCAGGGTCTTGCCCAGGGTCACACAGCCAGTCCAAAGGGAACTGGGACTTAGACCCAGGTGTCTGATCCATATCTGTCTGTCTCCATGGAGGAGACGAAGGGCAGGGCAGCCGCAGGTATAGTGCAGAGAGGAGTCTCCAAAAGAAGAGGAGAGGGGTGGCTTTGAGAGGGAGGTGGTTGGAGGGGTGTGGTGAGGAGTCCAAGAGCTATGTGGGAGGAAGCCGGGATATGAAGGAAGAGACAGAAAGCTAGGGGCTCCCTAAAAATCTGTAGTGAGGGGGAAGGCAGGGATGGCTGAGGTGACGCGTGCAGAAGGAAGATGGGGCAGAGAAATCCTCAGGACACCAATAACCCAGCTCTCAGGTCCTTCCATCTGGCTCCTTCCCACCCCAAATCCTACAGATTCCGAAAGGGACTCAAGTGCTCCTCCAAGGGCTGCCCCTTCCCAGGCAGGGGCAGAGGCGATCCAGGCAGCAGCCCCTCTCCCTCTAAATGCTGTCAGGTTATATATAGCTTTGCCACTGCCTCTCCTCATTGGGTAAAGGAGATAATTAACATGCTCAGGCTAATTAGCCAATCAAATTAAATGCAGCACCTGCTCCCAGCCTGATTGACGCCTTTTCCCCCAAATACATGCACCCCCACTCCAGCCCATAGCAGGGGAGAGGGACCTTAAGTTTGACAGAGAGGCCAAATTCCCCCTCTTTTCCAGAAGGGTCAGCCAGTGACCCTGAGCAGATGCAAAACCCCTGAGTGACATCCTTCCTCCCTCCCTTGCTAGGGTCTCGGTCTCAGTCTGGCCTCGCCTCTCTCAGCCTCTCTCTCAGGCCCCCACCTCCGGACACTATTTTGGGGAGGGAATTAATTAGCTATTGATTTCCACTGGCACAGGAAATAGGATTTTATGTTGCTGTCCACTTGCCCCTCAGCTCAGGAGAGGGAGGGGATCTTAGTTCCCCTGCCCTAGTCCCCAGTCCAGTCCCTCTGTCATTCATCCCCACCTTCTAAAGAGATGGCAGAAGGGTGCTTGCTCAACACCTAGGGGCAGGGTCTCCCCCGTCCAGGAAATTGGCAGAGGACAGATAGAGGGAATGGTGGTGAAGAGGCCTCCAGAGACCGGGAGGTAGAGGTTGGGTCCTGAGAAACAGAAAAAATGTTACCTGCTTGGGGGAGAGGGCGGCAGCAAATTGAAAGAGAGTCTAGGAGGGGGCGATTCCACTGGTCTGTGTGTGCCAAGATGTGCAGGGACAACGTGGGCAGGAAGGGGGTGCTATGTGCAGGCACATGTCTGTGAGCTGGCTGTGGGGACAGAGGCCGAACTTACGGGTGCCTCCAGGAAAGGGCAAGGCCAGGGTCTGGTTCTGCAGCCCCTCAAGGCTCGTTACTCATTCTCCCCACAGCCCAAAGCTCTGCAGCACAGGCCAGCTTGGCGCAGTGCCAGGGGCACAGGGGCTGCAGGGCTGGCCAGCAGGAAGCTCTAGCCCTCCCTGCATTCTCTCCCCAGGGATCCAGAGACCACTGGGGCAGCTTGAGGCTTGCCAGGCAGGTTGTCCCAAGAGGAATGTGAGCTAAGTGGACACCTGGGTCCTTTCTGCCCCACCCTACCCTAGAGTTCCCAGGAAACCTGCTGCTTTTCACCATTCTTTCCCCCTTCCCTTCGGCCTCCTCACTCCAGGCCCAAGCTTCTGCTGACCCAGCCTTCAACCCACCCTTCCTTCCGGTATGTGGGGGGTTCCTGCTAAGCAAGGATTCCCCTTCCTTCTTCACCTCCTGTTGCACAGGCAGCATCTGGCCTCAGATCTCCCCGCCATGGCCGGGGCCATTGCTTTGCACAACTGTATCAAGTAGACGGTACCCCTGGAGTTGCACAAGGCCCCTCGCCCAGGTTCATGCAGTGCAGTGGAAGCCCCCTGCACGCACAGAGCTCAGGCACCACGCCCCAAGACCCACGCTTCTTCACCAGTGCCTCCTGTCAGCGCGTGAAAACTGACTGGCCAGAGCAGCCTTGGGATATCCTGCCTGCTCACTGACGTCACTGCGGCGCACTCTGCCAGCCACTGCTGGCCCCGGGCCACTGCTCCTCTGGGGAACTGACCTCACCAGTGTCATCTGGGATTCTGCACCCAGAGCCCCCTATCACGGGAGGGCCTAGCAACCTTGAGCCGATGGTGATGGGAGCTGGAAGGGGTGGGGGTTGGGGTGACTCAACTGCTCCCAGGACCTCATGCTACTACTTTCTTCCCCACTGAATCCTCTCGTAGACTATTTCTGGGTCCTCCTCTGCTGACAGCCTCCTCTTCATCTTCCCACGGCCAGGCCAGGGCCACTGCAGCATCGAGGCTACAACTTCTGGGCTCCACGCTGCGCGTCAGAGGGAGGCTGGACGACCAGGTACATTTCGTCCTCCAGTTCCAAAAGGTAGTCGTGTCACCCCTGGCTTACAAACAAGGCACCTGCATTCAGAATGATGGATTCATTTGCCCAGGTTCAAGTGCAAGTAAGAAGTGGCCTTACTCTTCCTCTGCACTGGCTGCAGGTCACTGGGCAGGGACAGACTCAGAGCCCACCCTTCTCTGATCTGGCCACAGGGGCCACTGCCCTTTCCAGTTGTGGCCCGAGCTCTGACTGTGCCTCTAGGAACGAAAGACGCAGACCTCAAAGGCAACGGAGGGCATCCCTCTCATTTTTGAGGTGGAAACTGAGTCCCAGAGAGGGATAGTGACTGCCTAAGGTCACACAGCAGAGCAAAACAAAAGCCAAGGCCACCGGCCTTCCGTTCTGGATGCTTCCCCCTGAGCCTCCCACCTGACCAAAGGCCTTGGCTTTCCTACCAGTGCAGACTAAGCAAATGGATGCAGAATCCAGGGTGAGATAGCCCACACCCACCCCGGCGAAGCCCCCCACCGGCAGCCTTCTCCTGGCCTCCACTCAGCCCCTTCTCCGGTCACACCTGCACCACACTCGCAGACACCTCCAGCCATGGGAATGCCAGCCTCCCTCTGGCTGTCCTCTCCTCACGCCAGCTCCCTCTCATGCCAGCTGGGAGTGCGACAGCAGGGGCCTCCCCCAGGCACCAGGAAGGAAGAGCTGGGTTTACACACATTCTGGTGGCCCCAGAAGGCAGCCTGTGGACAGGTGGGAGAAGTGCCTGTAATGAGGAGGGAGATTTTGGCTCAAGATAAAGAGAAACTTGCTGGCAATCCAAAGCAGCCAACAGTAGAGTAGGCTGCCTCCGGGGGATGGTGAGTTCCCCGTCTGTGGAGGCGTGTGAGCTGAGGCGGGATGACTACCACTCGGAGATGCTCAGGACCTGGCTCTTGAATCATCTGGGAGGGGACATCAAACTATGTGAGCCCTTCCGGTCACAGAATGTGTTTTTTGGAGGGTCCCTCTCCCCCACAAAACCTTAGGCAGCATTGGCAGGCTGCAAACACGTTCCCTTGCCGCTCCCTCCCTCCAGCCCCCGAAGAGATGAAGAAGCCC